CAGTGGGACGTATATAGGCTGTAACTTTACTTTACTTTATTCCTTATAGATTATATCTGACCCTGTTACATTATATCTCTTTCAAAGAATTTTTTTTTCTTATTAACTCAGACGTAGACAGAGAAACCTATAGACTAATGATTAGCGTGGCCTCAAGTGAGAAAGGACGATAACGTAGTTTTAGGTTATACAATAATCTTTATGACTTTTAAACATATTTAGATAAAAATTTTAATTGTGAGAATTGAACTGAACAAGATTCACCAATCTTACGAATCACCAAGTCACGAAATGAAGGAGCGACCGATGGGAATTTAGTGCCATGGCGTTCCTTCACCGGAGCACAACGTGCGTTCTGCGTACGCGAATATTACAAAAATAACGATTTTTTGACAATATCGCAACGAAAATATTGTAGTCATTACAATATACGCCATAAAAATGAAGCTCCATCGATTCAGTTGATTAAGAGTTGGGTAAAGAAATCGAAAAGACAGGTTTAACGTTAAAACAACCAAGATCCGGCCGACCTAGGACATCAAGAGATCCCGAAAATGTGGAACGGGTAAGAGCGTCTGTTCGTGAACAACCGAGACTCTCTACTCGAAAGCGGTCTAGCGTCTTAAATGTGCCCAGAACGTCTTTAAACCGCATTCTTTATAAAGATTAGAAGATTAGAGATTAGAAGATTAGAAACTGCAGCCTGCTAGCGTGATCTTGAGGCATTAATACTATAACAGGCTGCAGTTTGCCAACGAAATGCTAGAGAGGTTTACCATCTTATCAACATTTTTTTCTCAGACGAGGCACACTTTCACGTTAACGGGGGTGTCAACAGGCAAATTTGTAGGTAGGATGACAAACAAGGAAACACCCCAACCCTACTCCCCATTTTCAAAATATCATTTGTTACCATAATCTCTTTCCTCATCATTCTTTCCGTTGGAGTGACAATAATCCAAAATTGAAGCATCAAAAACCCCTGCATTCACCCAAGGTTACTGTATGGGCAGCTTTGTCAGCAAGAGGCATTATTGGTCCCTACTTCTTTGAAGACCAAAGGGGACGCACTGTTACAGTGAATATAGAGCGGTATATTGTCATGTTACAAAACTTTTTTGCTCCCTCGCTACAAAATTTTGATGGTTTTAATCAACGATCGTGGTTTCAGCAAAACGGGTCAACATGTCACACTCCAATAACTCATTGAGTGCAGCTCGAGAAATTTTCGGCCAAAAAGTGATATTCAAAAGAGGCGACATTAACTGGCCTCTTCGCAGCCCGGATCTGTGCCCAATGGATTTTTTTCTTTGGGGATACCTTAAAAGTAAAGTTTTTGAGACCAACCCCGTGTCTGTTGCGGAATTGAAGCAACGTATTCGCGAGGAAATGCAAAACATTTCTCGGAACAATTGTCAGACCGTCATTGAAAATTTTCGCTCCATGTTACAGCAATGCCAAAATAATGAAGGAACACATATGGATGATGTAATTTTTAAAAACTAAATTTCCTTTTTATGTATTTTCATAATTAATAAACGCTTTTCACCTGATGTAATTAGTTTTCATTTTAATTTAGTTTCAAAAATAAAAAAAACTTATGGCCCACCCTGTGTATATTCGGCGTTTTGTAATCATGTAGTAAAAAGATATCATCACACAATCAAATGAATAACAAAATAACCAGAAGATACCTAAATCTTGAAAATAACAAACATTTCTCTTATATCAAACTGAGCACTGACTTTTTATATTGATTTAATTTATAAATACAATGATTTAAACATAAACAGGTTGATAATTTGAATGTATACAAACTAAGTTGCATGATATTACTAGTTCATCGATAAATTCCGCACAGTTCCGTCGTTTGAGTCACGAGACTTGATAGCATCCTGTCTTTAATTACGTTCATATAGGTAATATATTATTATAATAAATTGTGCAATTACTTAAAGGAAGCTTGCATATTTCTCGCCGGTCTAATGTTTTGTAGTGATGCCCAGTTAGGTCAGGGTACTTACTACCTTCCTTCAGAGATGATCCGACGCCTGTCATATAATACCTCGAGATGGCACCTGCAGTGTTCCTGCGGCACTCTACTCAAAATAAGGATAGGGAATCTCTACCTCCGTCTTTGGATAGAGAGGGAGCTTGGCATGGGTCACCCCCGCAGGGACGCGTTCCTAAAGCTTTGACTAAGTGCAAAGACCGAAACTCTGGGTTTTAGGCTCCGTGGCGAAAGGGTATCTTTGAAAATTTCCCTCTTATAAATGAACCTCTGTTACACTTAGACCTTGTTTTTATAACAATAACTGCTACAGTCGGGATCGCTTAGTGAGTCTTTAACTGTTTTTATATACAAATTTTAAAAGATTTGCCAGTAATCTGTTGAGTACAGATTTTCCGCAAGCTTTCGACACACTATGCCTAAATACTCATTATGCCGTTAAGTCTCGTGCTGTCTCTATCACTTTAAATCAAAGTGACAGTGACACCACGAGACTTAACGACATTTTAAAATTGAGAGCGTTTGAGCATTTGGCCATTAGTAAGCAGCTGAAGATAGCTTGGTGCTTCACACTCTGCTGCCCATCCTTTGTTAAAAAGTTTCATATCGGGTTGCCATAAAGTAAAGTAAAGTTACAGCCTATATACGTCCCACTGCTGGGCTCAGGCCTCCCCCTCATTTCTGAGAGGGTTTAGGGCAAGGAAGTGTCCGCCGCGCTGCCCAAATGCGTGTTGACGAACTTCACATGTCTTCGAAATATTTTTTTTTCTTATTCCTCAGACATGCAGGTTTCCTCACGATGTTTTCCTTCACCGCCGAGCACGTGGTAAATCAGCACTTAAAATTGCAATTAACAATTTCATTGGTGCCGGCGGGGGATCGAACCCGGGTTACTCGCGTTCTGTTATATTTACAGCGAGCGTTAACCACTGAGCTACCACGGCTTGCCATATTTTACCATATTATTTTGAAGGCTATTTACATTATTTTTTTGCCGAATATGTCGAATTGTATTTCTACCAACAAGTGTTATTAATTTGTTTTAGTTTTTTTTTCGTTCCATACAGTCCGTCAGGTGTTCAGTGCTGTACACCCATGGCATGCCTTATAGACCCTTATTAGTTATAGTTGCCACGCCTGGCGTGCTGGGGCTGTCCATCTCCTGTTTCAGTTTCATCCTCTTACAAAATCCACGGGATGATATTGGATAGTACGAGTTGATGCTCGTACGCCGCCATTACAAGGCAAAATAATTTATATAATTGATAAAATCAGGCGTTACTTTGCGGAAATCCATTATAATAAAGATATTAATAGTTACCTCGCAACCATCCGCTTAATTAAATGATGTGTCTTACCTAGTTTGAAGAGCACCTCCCGCCCTCCCTCAACTGCGTGCACTAATCCCGTCACCACTAATCCCAGCACCACTACTCCCAACACCACTACTCCCAACACCACTATTCTAGGAAAGGCACACCATCGATAGTTAATACGTGGTTGCAAAGTAACTATTAATATCTTTATTAAATTAATTTATTATAATAGAAACTAAAATTTCAAGTAAAGTACACATTTTTAATTTACAAATCGTCATCATGCCGCTCTATCATCACCACTTCCGGACATAGGTCCTCTCCTAAGGTGCGCCACTTAGCCCGATCTTCGGCTTCATGCATCCAGGTACTGCCAGCCGCCTTACGCAGATTATTGCCGCGAATTTACAAGTGTTAATCCAAGTTCTGTGCTGTTTGTATAGGTATAATGCTAGAGAGCTTGTTAAAGGAAGCTTTATGATGTGAAATTCCTTGAAAACTACCGGATTACTATTGTTTGCCTGAAGAATTGTTAATTGAAAGAGGCCGATTAGCATTTGTATTACTTTGTTGAGTCAATATTAAAAAAATAATCTTATCATGATTAAGAGGGCAAATTTGTCATTTGTTTTACTAAATTTTTAGAATTTTAAGTTGGCCAGAAAGGCTTTATCGTCAACGTAGTTTATATTTTAATGATTTGTTATATTTATGTGAACACAGCCGTGGTAGCTCAGATGGTTAGCGTTCGCTGTAAATTTCACAATACGCGAGCAAACCGGGTTCGATCCCCGCCGGCACCTATGAAATTGTTAATTGCAATTTTAAGTGCTGATTTACCACGTGCTCGGCGGTGAAGGAAAACATCGTGAGGAAATCTGCATGTCTGAGAAATAAGAAAAAAAAATATATTTCGAAGACATGTGAAGTTCGCCAACACGCACTGGGGCAGCGCGGCGGACACTTCCTTGCCCTAAAACCCTCTCAAAAATGAGAGGAGGCCTGTGCCCAGCAGTGGGACGTATATAGGCTGTAACTTTACTTTTATGTGAACTCTACATATTGCACGAAACTTTTTTTTACGAATTGTATTGTGTTTTATTAACTTATTTTAATATACCCGATGTTATGAGTGCCTCACTCATGATCATAGGGAGACTGAACATACAAATCTTATAGCGGTTACCTTGGCTTCCTTTACTTTAAAATAAGTGATTTTTTTTACCGATCTTTTGTATTTTTTTTAAAACATTGTAATGGATCCGTCATCACTAGCATCTAAATTTCCCATGGTTGGACGTAAACCGGGATTCACTGTAATTGCGACCTTTTTAGTATTATAAGGCGAATTTTAACAGTACAAGTTTCCGGTCATAGTTAGAGTTCATAGGAGTAAAGAAAGAAGAAACAATCTTCTTAGTTCCTACTACTCTTCACAGAGCTATAATCTTTTATACATTAATTGGACGTAAACAGGGATCTGCTAAAATTGCGACCTTTTTAGGATTATAAGGCGGACTTTCACAGCACAAGTTTCCGTTCATAGTTAAGACAGTTTTTCGTCATCGCAGTAGAGTAAAGAAAGAAGAAACAATCTTCTTAGTTCCTACTACTCTTCACAGAGTTATAATCTTTATTTATTGTTTATTAATTACAGTAAAATTATTTTCCAGTTCCGTCCGCCCCGCAAAATCTAACAGCAAACAGTGTGACCAGCGAACTTATCCACCTCTCGTGGATCCCGCCCACCACTTTCACTCTCCACGTGCGCTCTACAACAAACCCTGGCCCCGATAATGACGACACATCCAAAATAGAACCAGATCTCACCGTGATCGAGAAGATGAAACAGGATACCCTATCTGACGAACCGTTTGATGACGCAATTGAACCTCATGCCTCTTTAACCGAGGCTTCCATAAGTCCAGAAAAACTTGACTCTTCACCTTACAATTGGTACAAGAATGACAAACAAAAATATAATGATGGGTATTCCAATTCTGATATTCTGTTTGACGAAGCGTACAAAAGCAAAAGAGAGAGGCGCTCTCACAGACACAGAAAAAGAAGACAGGATAGCAGTTCAACGGACTCGAACATAATATTACATTTGGAGAAAGTGTTAGAAGACACGCATCAAGATTTCGAACTTCCAAAAGAGGTGGTGAAGAAAGCCTCGTCGATTATTCCGCATAAAGATTTTACGGAGATCGCTTACGTTCTATACTATGAGCAAGGGGTGCCAAAATACAATGCTGCGTCGGTAATTGGTATTCAAACATCTTCTGATGTAAAGAGAAACAACGTATTTCCCAGTGACTTGGGCATGGAGAACTATTCCAAAGCAACGAGAAACTTGACGTTGCTTAACAATTCGGGAGTGGCTACTAAAGCTGTCGGTTTCCGACTAAAGGATTTGAGTAAGTTTTGTTATTATTTTAAGAAATTTTTATTTCTACAATTGTCCAATTTTTAACAGGTTTAAAAAAAAGAGGTTAAAATTCAACTGATTGTTTTTATTATGTATCATATTTACAAAATAAAAACATACAGTCGAATTTTTAACCACTTTTTTGAGTCTGTTAAAAACGTTACGTTGCGTGATATCGTCGGCAATGGTGAACAGATTTTAATTAAACAGTATATACTTCAGGGGCGGTTGAGAGAAAAAGCTAATAAAATACCATAATTCGGAGAATAAATTCTACCCTTGATGTTGGCAGAATAGGGGATGAATGTTTTGATGGAACTATTTAGCCGACATTGAGATGTGATATTACTAATGGGATTCTTTATTGAAAACGCTTTGTTTTCTTTCACTAGCTGTTTTACAGTATATAAAGTGCAAGTGAAAACCCATTTCTAAAACAAAGTACCAGTTCAACATAAATGGTTCATAAATGAACCGATTAAAGTTTTTTTTTTAATTTTATGTCATCCAAGTTGCTGAATGAATAGTCGTCAATCGAGATCGTTACGGAGAACGAAACGTTTCTTGAATATAGAAATCAGGCACCTTAAGAGCCCAGTCTTTCAGAGCAAAACAGAAAAATTGCGTTCTGGTGACACATCTACACCCTCCCTGCCCCGCCACTTCATGTACCGCCACCGCAGTTATCTTTCTGGCCGTAGCGTGGAAAGTTGCTCTACTAAGATTTTCCAGTATCAATTTATCTAATATACAGGATTATTGATAATTAGCTAACAAATTTTCACATACAGATTTTCTACCTCGTATCTATTTTTGTTCCATGCTTTTATTACAAAATTCGTTACACAAAAAAAAATATTTTAAGTTTGTATAATTTTTGTTGTTTTGTTGAAAAGGTTTCTAAAAGATAATCATCTAGAACCTGTATAACATGTACTCGTATTATTGATTATTCAAATGAATCTGGCAAGTGCTAGAATGAGTCGTGCACTGAGGGTTTCGTAATAAGTCGATGACACTATCGAAAATCCGTCAAGTACGTCAAGTAGTTCTAAATACTAAAATAGATTAAAAAAAACTCAAAATAATTTCTATATAAGTACAAACAGTCCACTATCACACATATTTATAGTTTCTCATTAAAGTATAATGTAACTTTGTATAGCATTTACCTATATGCATTACAAATATGCAACTCATTTATAAACTATTCTTAAAAGTACCTACCTAATTATATACCTAATATTTAACCAAGTGCTCACACATATGCACGTTGTTAACTATTTTACTATGAAACACAAAAAAACTTACCTTTGAATTCTATTTCTGTTCATTGCTTCAACGTTTGATTTCAATTTTTGTTTTCTGGTACAAGCATATTTTTTACGTTTATGGTCCATATCGAAATTAAAAGTTATAAAACAAATACAAAATGATTTATAAACCCTTAAAGAATTATATGCAAAAAATAATAAAGTAGAACAACTTTCAATTCGTAACAATGCGCAACCAAGATTAGGGAAAGAGAGAGAAAGAGGAATGTTAGAGCGAGAGGAAGTGCAAAAATTTGGCACAGACAAGACGTCTGAACGCTACAGCCGCTCAGCGGCTACTAAGGAATATTGCCCGCAATTATTGTTTATAAAGTCAATATTTTATAGGTCGATCGAAATAATTATTAATTTTGAAATAAAGTGGTTTAAATTATTATTTTTTAATATTTGTCTAATTAAACACCTGCCCTTGAGAAAAAAATAATTATAGCATAAATATTTTCAGCTATTGCTATGAAACAAATAGTTTTTTATGAGGCGAAAACAGCGAAATTTAACGAAATTGAGACCTCTTATTTAAGACAATGAAAGATATTTAGAAAAAAAGAAACAGCGCATTTTGGAGATGAAGATGTTTAGCTATTAACGCGCTGAATAGATTTCGCCTTTTTATTATCGATTGCCTTATAATGGTACACGAACAAAGCTCGAAATTGCGTTGGGTGCGAGAGAGCTCTATTTACCGTTTGATTTATCTAACATAGACCACATAGATGAACCAAAAAAAAAAATTTAGCCATTACTTATAATCTGGGTATTTATGTGTTATCAAAATATTTTACTCTGAAACAATAATTTGCTGTAAAAAAAGAAATCAAAGTGGCGCTAATGATTCGATGTGAGTCAACTTTAAAAGACTGTAGCCTTAAATAGTAAAAAAAAATTAGAAAAAGTATAAGCCGACTTCAAGCAACTAAAAATAAAATTATTTCACAATTTGAAATCTTCTGCTTCAATAGTGTGTAATATGCTCTAAGTGCCTGCCTCATAAGTCTAGTGGTCGTAAACGCGATTGTCGATCATGAAGTCCCTAGATCAAATCCCAGGTCAAGCCAAAATCAGGGTTATTGGGTTTTTCTGTTAACAAATGCTCAGTAACAACCTGTAGTCATGAAGTTGGTGATGTTTTATCCGCGTGTCTTAGAATGCAAGTTAAATTGTTGGTCCTGCGCCTGATTTCTCTCCGGTCGTGTCGGATTACTATCCCATCAGACTATGAGAGTGAGGGGAAAGAGAGTGCACCTGTTCTTGCGCATACACCCGGACACTACAATCCTGTCCTACTCATATGGCTAATCTCCGTTGACGTTGACTGGCTGCCGTGATCGAAATTCGGTCTGGAAGACATTATTATTATTTTTAACATCACCATCATACGCAACATTAAATCAGTAGTTGTCAGCATCAGTCAGTGTTTGTAGTAATATCCTTAGCTGACACTTACGACACCCGCTGATCGAAACGGGACAATGTCTTTGGCGTTATGGCAGTTTTTACTTCTTGGTCATTACATCGTGACCTTAAAATCTACCGATGTTCAGATATTTCTTGATTATCCGTGAACCAGTTTGTTTAATGAACTTCACACTTGAGATGTGAAAATTAATTAGTGGTTGGCTATTTAAGTGCCAATTAGTTTCAATGTAACGCCTGGTTGTGTATATCAACTATATACTTCCCAGGGAGTTTTAGGAATAATTTTAAAACATTCTTATAAGCGATATTCGTCTGCGTAAATGACTATACTAATTTTAATTTAATATGTTTTCAGAACCATTCACACCTTACAAGATCTGGGTCCGTGCATTTTATAAATTTTCGCTAAGCGGTGTCAGTTCTTCTGGCTTGTTAGACCGCCTGGGCCCAAAGTCAGAGCCTCTCTATGTACTGACTGATGTAAGGCCACCGTCTGCACCTATAATACTTAACTTCACCTGTGATCAACCTAATGGTAAGTCCTCGTAGTTTTATACAATTCAGATGTAATGTTTAAAAATAAATTGATTTATTTGACATCGGCCACTAGTAGTGGTAAAAAAAAAGATATTTTATTTTTATTCCAAAACTTTTAATTATCATTGACATGTGAATAGTCAACTAAACCTGCTTTGACTATATGATAGATTTCTCAGTATGAAAGGAACCCAACCATTCGGTAGCCCATAAACTTTGTTTATAATTTTAATTTTTTTTCTGCATTGCTACACCTACCTCAAATTTTCACCACACACACACACACAGTCCGTTCCTTTTATGTTAATACTTTTATGTAATAAAAAAAAACATTAAAAGTTACAGTCTATATAAGTCCCACTGCTGGGCACTCATCAACATCACAGGCCTCCTCATTTCTGAGAGGGTTTTAGGGCAAGAAAGTGTCCGTCGCGCCGTCCCAGTGCGTGTTGGCGAACTTCACATGTCTTCGAAATATTTATTTTTTATTTTTCAGACTCGCAGGTTTCCTCACGATGTTTTCCTTCACCACCGAGCACGTGGTTAATCAGCACTTAAAATTACAATTAACTATTTCATTGATGCCGGTTGAGATCGAACCCTTGCTCACGTCATGTTGATTTTACAGCGACCGCTAACCATCTGAGCTACCACCGCTTATATAATAAAAAAAACATTATATAAAGTAATTGACTGTCAAAAATATCTTTGTTGACTGTGCAAAAATTACGCAAATGCAATTAATTTCTTCAGGATTACTTTACCTACAATGGCGTCAACCCCTGGAGTACAACAACTCGTTGGACCAGTATGTGGTGACGCTTAGGAAAATACCAGAGCAGCAGCCGCGTACAAGACTGACAATGCCTACTAACAAAACTGACATAGATACTGCTATTAGTGTGGTAAGTTGTAATTTAATCTATATTTACTAGGGTGAGCAAGTGAAAAAAATAAATTGATATACAGGTTGTCCCAGAACGTAACGATCAAACGAAAGGTGGTTGTAGACCATGGAAGGACTGTTAAAAAAATTAAGTGCTATACTCAAGTTGAGTAGTTTAAATTTTCCAGAAAGTCATCTTTGCGTCAATATTTTAGATGCTGCAGCTGCAAATGAGGACCGATTTTAATTTTTTTTGTATAGCCTAATGATATGCCTACTATACCTACTGTTTTGCGCCATATTTGATACATTGCGAGTACCCACTAGCGCCATCTAGTATCGAGTAGCAGAACTAGGAGAGCTTTCTAGAAAATTCCATACTAGAAAGGAGACAATCAATTTTTCTATGGAGAATGGGCCCACTACAAATTTTAAAGATTATCAATGAAATGCATGTCGATTTATTCCTTATAATCCATAGATTACAATAAAATTATTAGTTTTACTGCATCTAAACGGAGTCCTGAGAAATTAACAAATAAAATATGAATCTAACAATAACCTAAAAACAAACTGAAAGCGATTTTCTGGTAGTATTCATCGGTATTATAAGTTAAAATAGTGCACACTTGAATAGTAGTACATATAAAACTAAGCTGTAGATATATTCAGCATTTATAAATATTTTAAAATCGATGTAAAACCTTTCACTAGTTCCGGCAAAACATAGTGCCTGTCTATGCACAAATGTCGTATGGATTCTAAGTTTGACATGTATTGATTGATTGTGAGTGTAATTCTAAATACCAAGATGGCTAAGGGATAATGTCTATTTAAGTAAATCATAATTTATTTAAGTATTCTATTAACAGTAGTAGGTACAGAAACAGAAACCTTTTATTCAAATTAGATTATAAATAATACTTATTGAAAGTCACTTTTTTAATTTACCACTGGTTCGGAAAAAACCTCTGACTTGAAGAGAACCAGCAAAATACCCAGTGGGTCTTTTAAAAAAAAAGGCAGCTTACAATCATGTATGTCATAATTAACAACACAGAACAAATTAGAAATAGCTTGGTAGCGATCACCTTACCCACGGGTTATTGTCAGCCATAAATTCCTTTATACTATAATAACCCCTTTTATACAAACTTAATTTAATAAATTTTTTGAACTTTGATGATTGACTGACATATATAGACAGGAGCGGTGTCAAGACGTTGTTTTAATATGTTCTGGTTGATTAGGAAGTAGTATACATCATAATAAAATGACTAGGAATTAACATGCCTTATCTATGTTATTACACAATGATAAATAGTGAGGAAGTAAGATGTTTCAAACTGTTTGTGTAAGGATTACAAAAACACAGGCTTAATTTAAATGTATTTATTACGATGCGGCTCACCTGCAGCACTGGTGATTTATGGATCTCGACAACAGTGCCATCTACCGGGTCCAAATGTAAATATAAACCATCTAGGGATCCATCCAAATACACACAAATTAAATAATAAAATACACACAAAATAAATACATTTTCATTGAAATTGGTTGGATGGTTTCTTATGTTTTGTCTATAACGGACATAGGTAGAAACATTTTAGTGTTAGATATATATCTGAAGGTTTTTTGAAAATAGATCCACCTGAAAAGAAGTTAATGACAATTGTAAAGGTGTCTTAACTAAATAATAATTCTTATCAATATATTATTTTTTTCTATATTATATAGGAATTAAAAGGACATTTTTAATAATAAGAGATATGAGATAAGACTATGCCTTCAATGTCAATAAACTGTATTTACATATTTCTGTAAGCATTTTCTTATATCTGCCTTTTCATATGTTAAATAATAAAGAAATTATTATAAACTATACAGCATTAATCAGCTCCAGCTGATCAAATACAGGAGCAGTAATTACTGATCAACATCTATGATATTCAACCATGTAAAAGTTGTCTCACATTTTATTTTTTCTGGTTTCATGTACATAGGAGACAAAGATATTATTGTTATATTAAGTATATCTGATTTTGGATGACAAAATAACATTCCTTTCTGCACAGTGAACAACACAGCTGTCTAAGCATAATAGATACAACCATTACACTTTTTTATGCAAACTATTATTATTAAACTTATATTTATATTTGCTTCTAGTACAAATAATTACTACATTTTTTACACATAAATATATTATGTAACATTTATATTGCCTATCTACTATGGCTAGTATAAATCCAGGATCTGTGTCTGGCTTAATGAAAAAGCCATTTAGTATTTAAGCAACTTGCTGAATACATAAGGTACCTATTTGTACACAAATGTAGTTATATGAATTGCTCTTCAAAACCCTCTTTAAGTCCCTCGACCTAAAGATTCTTTTAACATTATAATAAATTATTTTGTGCATTTATTCTATTTATTATGTATTTAATTTAGATTTTACTAATAAAATAAACTTAATACTTTGTCACTTTTAACAAACTAATAAGGTTCTAAGACCTGTTTATTATTTGTATTTATTTTGTTTTAGGTAAAATATACAAACTTAATAATAGATTTTCACAACCTAGAATAGGTGTAAATTAATAAACTCTTATATTCTATTTGCGAATTTTACCACAAAAACTATAAAGAGAAAAACATACGTACTTGTGTCAATTAATATTTGGCTAACCTTTCTGATAATTGATAATATCCATATTTTCTTAAACATTAGTTTAATAATGCTTGTAAATAAAAACTCCATTTTGTTCTTACCATAATGATGCGACTCCAACTATGTTTTATTTCACCCGAGTGAATCGAGTGAATTTGTCCAACTCGTAATCGATAGAAAATAAATTTTACCAAGTTACCGAGTTAACTCGGCGCATCGTATAGATTCAGAGGGTGCTATATAAATATTACTTCACTAATTTACTTGTATATATAATAAGTCGCTGCAGGTGACATCACAAGTTGCATCCAAATTCAAACTTGCATCTGGCATGTTGTAAACAAACCTGAAATTAGTTTTATTTATGATATTGATTTATAGTTTTAATTTCACATATTACTTATTTATAAAAGTACATATTTAAAAATTGTTTAACTAAAGTAATCGCTACTCTCAACTCTAGTGATGAACTTTTCTGTAAATAGTTGATTTACTCAAAAACTAGTGTACAACTAGAATGACACACATACATACTCGTAAATTAACCCGAGTGGCTCGAGTCACAAAACTCTACTCGAATCGCATCTTTATCTTACGGCCAATGCAGTGTTTGTCTACAATTTAGTGATTAAATCGACTTACTAATTCGAGCAATTTATTGATATATTATGTAATAAATAAATTGATATTAGGTAATATGTATATAATGTTGTATCAATTTATGTTATACATAATATAAATTGATTATATATACTTTGGATAGTCAAATTATTAATAACATTAAGACTTACGTCATAACGTTAGAGTGATATTATTTTATGAAGATATCGATACGCATACCAAAAATAATATATAACTACCTATTAAGTGTAGTAATAATAATTGTGTTGTATGGAAGATCAATTATAAAAATAATTTGTGACATATTGACACAGCTTCGTTCATCTAATTTGAATTGTTTAACTCGAGCTCAAAATCAAGTTACCTGAATTTCAACTCGATTCGATTTTTTCCGAGTTATCACGGCACATCTCTAAGACAATAATTTTTTAAATATTACATTACCTTAGCCAATGATCAGAACACGAATGTCAAAACAACTAATTTTTTTTTCAGATTTCTTGTTTCCGTTTACATTTTCGAAAAATCTATAGGCCATTTACTATTATAATTTGGTGTCTTTTTTTGGTGTAAATACCATTAAACGACGTTAATATTTCTAGTGGGCCCAAAAATGATTGTCTCCTTTCTACACCTAGTCGGTCGGAACCGGTATGTACTCGAACATTCTAGATATTTCAGTAGAAAAGGCCCTATATATAACTGGTATTGACCGCGAGTCGAGTCAGTATTGAATTGGTGATACAAGCGAATACTTCGAAGAGATATAACTGTAAACTAAAGTGATTTATTATTAGTGTCTTTTAAGTTGTAATTGGTATTCGGTAATTAAAGTGTCAACTTTGGCAATTCAATCGGCAGTTTTTATTGTCACGAAGCCCAATCTCGTTACGCTACTATTTTATTTTTCAGTACCTATTACGGTTTGGTGGTAATAAATACATAAAAATTCGTAAAAGTATCAAAATGTAACATTAAAGTTTTGTCGAGCAAGATGGACCCTTCACCCTGTAAAAAAAGTGTATCCACATTGACCTGGTAACTGCATTCAAAAGTTGGTGCAATTCATATAGATTTCAAAATGGTATAATATTTGGTACTTTTATTTCAATTTTTTGTGCTATTTTTTTCTCGCAGAGGTTACCAAAATTGGATAAAAAAAGAACTAGGTTTTACTTTTCTATGGATATTAGGTCTGAAATCGGCCAAATAAGCGTGAAAACTAATCTTTTTTTTTACATTAATCGAAGGGATCGATTTAAAAAAAATCTAATTCAGTAATTTCGACAAAATCTACCCTTTGCGAGAAAAATAATTATAGCACAAAAAATTGAAATAAAAGTATCAAGTATTATACCATTTTGAAATTTATGTATAGAACCTGTTCCTACCACCTCCTATACCTATTGTTACGAGCTTGGGGTTCGTGACAATAAAAACTGCCGATAGAACTAACAAAATTGACACTTTAGTTACCGAACATCAATTAAAAAATAAAAACAAATAATAAAACACAATTCGCAGTTATATCGCTTCGAAGTATTTGCTTGATTCGCCAATTCAATACTGACTCTACTTACTGGCCATATATAGGGCACATTGAAACATCTAGAATGTTCGGGCACATACCGGTCCCGACCGACTAGGTGTAGAAAGTTCTAGTAGGGATTTTTTTAGAAAGCTCTCTAGTTCTGCTACTCGATACTAGATGGCGCTAGTGGCTTTGA